AGAGAGAGAGAGAGAGAAAGGGGGAGAGAGAGGGAGAGGGAGAGAGAGAGGGAGAGAGAGAAAGAGAGAGAGAGAGAAAGAGAGAGAGAGAGAGAGAGTCTCAACAGCTATTCCATACTTGTTGTATTCTAAATTGGCTGAATTTTAAAAAACATTTTACATTTGAAATGTTTCATCTGATCTGTGTTATGTCGCTGTTGCGAGCAAGTCCTAATTTTGATAAATTTTCACCCTCCAAAAGCTCTTTCGACATTACCAAAATGCAGTTTAAAACTGTTGTCAAGGCTTACGATTTTTTAAACTTATCATGATTCCCGATAGGAACAACACAGCAAAAGTGTTGTCAGCTGACGTCATGACTAATTGGGTACTGTAGTTGACTATATGTGAGGTGTGATGACAAAAGGAGTTACGTCGTTAGGATTTTAGCGGTATGGAAATTGATACATCAACTTTATAGGTGGAGCTTGTACAATTTGTAAGAATGGAATAATAAAAGACACGGTAGACTTGAACAAAATGGCATCAACTGAAAGTCTATAAATCTGACCCCATTGTTGATTTTCGGCCCGATATCTCCAGTCTGAGATTGCGGGAAGTAACTCATTTTGTCAGCACCCCTCACATACATATATCCTCGTGAGGATGTGTAGATTTATCGTTCTTGACTTGTGCACACCAAGAACATGTTGTTGTGATTGAGTGGTATACCTTGTATCGTATTGTGATTGAATGGTATACCCTGTATCATGTTGTTGTAATTGAGTGGTCTACCTTGTATCATGTTGTGATTGAGTGGTATACCTTGTATCATGTTGTTGTGATTGAGTGGTATACCTTGTATCATGTTGTTGTGATTGAGTGGTATACCTTGTAACATGTTGTATTATTATGTACGTGGTGGTCTTGATGATTCCTGCCTGCTAGAAGCACTTGGGAGAATAGGCATATTGTTTAGTACAAATTTTTGCTACAATAAATTTGTCTTTGGCAATTGATTTTGACAACAGCATGACTTAGATTTATGTATAAAAGGACTTTTTTGTCTCTGGCAACTAAAAGTACCTGCCAAATGGACATACGTGGATTACTTGTGATACTAATGATAAGCTGATTAATTCCATCAAGGTTTCCTGTGAACATGTTGATATATAATTATGTGAGGCATCGTGGTGAAATCAGGCGTTCGTTGAAACAAGAAAATGAAAAAAAAAAGGTAATTTTTTTTCACCTGTTGGGCAATTTTTATGGATTTTTTTTTGGGGGGTCAATACATTTTATGTCCTTTTAAAAACATTTCTTTTTGAATTTTACCGAAAAACGTTGATCAAAGGTACAAAAATGTACATTTGGTGCAGTTTGCAAAGACGCTTAAGCTTTTGAAGTCTCCAAACTTTGGCTGCCATTTTCGCTCTAATTTTACCTCTGCTACAAAGTGAACCGTACCTCTTTTTAATGCAAATGTAAACTTTACTTCTATTCAAGATTGATGGGTATTTTTTTCACCAGAACCAAGACAAATGAACAAACTTAAAGATTATATCAATAATTCCACAAGTCAAAAAAACTGATGAGAGCCCGATTCCACCGTGGCGTCACACATATTGACAGAATGAGCACTCACTCTTTCACTTTTATCCAGTTAAGAATTGTAGCATATTGATATGCTGCAGACTCATGCACTACAATACATTTTCACCAGGGAACGGGATCTTGAAAGGGAGGATGTCTGGTTTGTGGAAAAAAAGGAGGGAGTAATTTTAAACCACAAATAAATGTTCATGTGTGAAATTACACAAAATCAGCTAAATTAGGTTTGGTCATTTTTTTTCTTTTTCAAAGTGAAGCAATTTAGGCAGCTGCATACAAGAGCAGCAAACAAAAAAAAGAAAAGAAGGTTTCGAGTGCCTTGGCCTACTGTTTTGATCACTAGAAAGTTCTGTATCGGAGTCTCTGGTGTGATGGTTAGGCTGGCTGCCCACCGCTGCGTGCCGAAGACCTGCTTTTGATTCCCTGGATGGGGAGTCGGCTGTTAAGAATTATACAGTATAACACGGATAGGTCGAACACAGAAGACTCGAAATCACGCGTCCGTCGAACTGTGCTTGTGGTCCTGATGTTTTTTTTAGTAAGCTATCCCTGGAACTACGGATCCTTCAAAGTACTGAAGTCGGTCCCGACGATTTTGAACTATCCGTGTTATACTATCTCTGTCTTTCCTATAGGATACTTTATCCCACTCAATCCAGGTTGGCCCTGACAGGCAGGGTCGAAGCAATTTGTCTCCTGAATCATTTATTATTGTATCAAAAGGGATGTAAAACGTT